ATTGCCGAAAAAATAGATATTACTCATTCTTTTTATCTAATACAACAAATGGCCTAAAATAAAAACTTTTTAACAAAAAAATAAAAACCGACTTCAAACAAAAGCACTAAGAAGTGAAAAATAACTGATTGGTAGTTTTCATTTACTATACATACCTAATCAAATATTTTCGAAGTCGGTGTGCTTTGCTTTGTATGGGCTGGCACCGATTTCGAAAATATTTGATTAGGTATGTATTTAATAGGTAGGCTTTAATTACTTAGCGAAAGCACACCGACTTCGAAAATATTTGATTAGGTATGTATAGTAAATGAAAACTACCAATCAGTTATTTTTTACTTTTTAGTGCTTTTGTTTGAAGTCGGTTTTTATTTTTTGTTAAAAAGTTTTTATTTTTCCCTTTTTAGTGTAGACAGTAGTAGCAAAGTAAGGATTCTAACGTGTTAGGCTTGTCAAATCAAACAAAATAAGCCCAAACTCAAAGTATCTACTATTAGCCGTTGAAGAGTTCCACCTATCCACCTTCTGGCCTTGCCATCAGATCAGGTCAACAACACCGAACCACTGTACTATCAACGGAAATAGAAATACTTGCAAAGTTTCAAGTCAATATGACAATTAGAAGTAGGTTAAATTCATCATTAGTTGTTTTTCCACCCATAGAGGTGGTATTTTTTTTTGAAATTTAAATGGGACTAATCTGGAAGTATACCCTTTCAAACAAAACAAAAATTGTCCAAATCCGTTAATAAATGACGGAGTTCTGAGGTAACAAACATAAAAAAAAAACATACAGTCGAATTGAGAACCTCCTCCTTTTTGAAGTCGGTTGATGATTAGCTAACGATTGCTGTTAGACGATTTTTTCTGTACCTTTCTATCAGATCTTTACACGATACTTTAATACTACAACACTACATATATAAATACTACATACTTCTATACCATAGTATTAGCAGTAATTTAGCCGTGCCGCTTAAATTAGCTTCCACGACATATTTACTTAATAAAATAGGGTAAAAAACGTTTAGGAGGCGTCCTTAGCATGCATTGCGTTAACAACTGAGTATACTACACTGTAAAACAGTTAGAAATTTTCATAAATGTTTAGATGCAAAGATTCTTTGAAAAATAAATAAATAAATATGTTTGGACATTAACACAGCACTATCTGGTTCCATGGTAAGCTACGAGGCTTGTGTTATGGATACCAGATAGTTCCCCCCCAACGTGCGTTCACCTTGTCGTGGTGGGGGGGCTCAGTAGTGCCCGGCAACCCAACCGGGCGCGAAGCCAAGAAACGCACAGGGAGGTGGCCCACTTCGGTGGGCGGTGGGAGGTGGCCCTCTTCGGAGGGCGGTGTACCATGTGGGTTGCTCCTGGTACTTCTCTGATAGCAGAGTGGACCTTGGAGCAACCCCGTGATTGTTGTGGTCTGCTTCGGCAGACCTGCCGTCGGGGCGTCGTAGTTGAATGCGTAAGCGATCCTGCGACGCCCCATTAAGACGGGGGAAGGTTTCGTTGGGTTTTAGTGGGTAGTACTGGCTTTGCCGGTGAGTCCCACACCTCGTGCGTAAATGCATTTCCCAACGTTAAAAAAAAAAAAAAAAAAAAAAAAAAATGATACCAGATAGTTGATACACTACACATATTATATAACTTTAAATACATACATATTATAAATATAAACCCCATGACTGGAGCACAAACATTCGTGCTCATCACACAAATGAATGCTCCCAGCGGGAATAGAACCCGCGACCGTTAGCACAGCAAGTAGGGTCACTACAAACTGAGCCAAGCGTGTCGTCAAATAATTATTAATTATCATTAATCATATTAAAATGCTCTTTAATTAGTTTTTATTATCTTGATTGCTATCTATATTTTATAAACATGAACTTTCTAGCGATTTTTAACGCTTTACATAAGAATAGAGCTTTTATTAGAGATTATAAACTAAAAAGCACGCTTTTGACCAACTTACTTGTCAAATTTTTGCAATCAATTGACTCAAATTCGATGGTTTTACTAAAAGCTATTGAAGAATTCCACTATCTATTTCCTGGCTATCATTAGATCTATGATATCAAACTATTACTATATTATTGGCATCTGGATAACATGCCTTATCTATATAAACAAAAATGAATTTTTGTATGTTTGTCTTCTAGGCATTCTTAAATCATTGAATCGATTGTGATGAAATTCTAATGGATTAATTAGTAGACCCTTGCATAGATTCCTGACGCAAAACATTGTTTTTTTTTTTGGATTCTTTATCTTTTATGTGTTCCTAAGCCATTCAAACTTAGGGACGCACCCGAGTGAAGGGAGGTTAAATTGCAAGTTATAAATTATACATAATATCTACATACAAAATTTTGAGTCGATATGATAATTCGAAAGTTTAAAATCGATTTTTAAGATTTAATTACATAGGTACAAATGAAGACAATAGTGTTAAAATAGCGAAAACCTACTAAATCTAAGTAGAATACTTATATATAAAATGAATACGCAAGTCATACCACAGACTAGCTAAAACAAGTATAATAAATTTATAAGCCAAATCCCTTATCAGTAAAAAAATCTAGGCCAAATAATATTAAAACATTAGTATGAACTAGATTAGCCTCTTTATACTGTTACTAAATACTAATTTCTAGATCTACTACAATATCAGTAGAACGTTAAGTCGCGTATAAATTTTGAACTCCAAAGAAAATATTGTAACTCCAGTGTACCTTTTTAAAATGTATGAAAAACTTGATTTAATTACCGTAAAATAATATATGATCGTTGGATCAATAAAACACGATTAAATTAAAAACATACCTATTTGTATGAAAATACAATTTATTTTCTCACTTTTGTATTTAGTAGAGTTATAATTTGAGTAATTCATATTAACTTCAGCTAATCAAAGGTACCAACCAATGTGTTCTAAATAATATATAAAAAAAAATTACCTTTAAATGTTTAAAGACAAAGATTTTAACGTGATTTTTCAATTCTAGTCTAAATGATAAAATATCACGATTACAAGTAAAAATTATATTGATATCACAATCGATGACTGCATCGTGAGTCATCTAATCTATCTATACATACCTATAATAAAATTCTAACTAAGCCGAAAATCTTATTGAAATAGTCATTATTATCGATGCGGAGGCAGAATCTATAGTTTTTAGAATTTTTGTCTGTCTGTTACCGCATCACAGAAAAACCACTGGAGGGATTTTGATGAAATTTGGTATGATGATAGCTGGTTATCCGGATCAACATATAAGATACTTTTTACCGCGGGAAAATATCTAATTTCTGAGAAAAAATACAAAAACTGCAATGTTAGAGTATACTAATATGCAAAACCTAAGATTTGGTTTTCGGGCATCTGAACGCGAGCGAAGCCGCGGGCAATGCTAGTAAAACAAATAAAAATATACGTTATTATTTATTTCCCTACTCATCCCACAATTAAATAATAACTATTCATATTAGCCACTTTTAGCGTCCCACTGCTGGGCACGGGATAGTCCAATAAGTTGAGCATTATGGACCAATAAGTCGGATAAGTGGGCAAGGGCCAGCTAGCCAACCTCGAGCTTTACATGTCTTTCGAAAACTACGGGTTCCCTCACGATTTTTTTCTTTCACTGTTTTAAAACGTTAATCATGTTGCAAATGATTCGCACATGGAAATCTCAAAGATGTGGGATCTGGATTTGAACCCGCTTCACTTGGATATTCAAGCCGGTGGGTATATAGTACCAATGAGCTGCCATTTCTAATACGAGTATATAATATAATACCAGAAAACGTACATCTATATTGAGTACTTACTAATTTTTTTAAGTTGGTCAAAAATTAAGGTTATTTTAGCAGTTATGGGCAGAAACCGTATGTAGTATCATATTACTTAATATACTAAATGGCATTTGAAAAAGAAAACATGGGACATTTATTATATTTTTATTATTAATTTATTGAGGAAACATTCATTTCATAGAAATACTTTATAAGTAGATACCTTCATATCTGTCTTTTACTTACAACAACCTGTATAGTTTATGTCAAAATCACATGGAAAATTAAATGCATTATATAATACAAAAATAAAAAAGCGCTGTACATACTAAGGGCTCACTCAATTGTATTAATAATATTACATTATTTCACAAGAAATATATATTAATTATAAATTATAGTCATAAAAATGAGTGAGAATTTTAGTTTTGATCGCCATTAATTAAAAAAAAACGAAGACATATTTAAAATATAGCATAAACTTAAAAAATAAAATATATTATAAAAAAAAATCTGTCAAATCCCTGCTGTCAAGGTCATCTCACAAAGTTAAAAGCTACAATTAACTATTATAAATATAAATAAATAAAATATAACTTACAAATATACAATTATGCCTATACATATATTAAATATTTATTATTTGAATTATATTATTACTATGTTTTTCTATTAGAAAGGATTTTAGCAATCTTAATATTAATTATACATAATATTAATGGCCATTTTGAAATTTCTTATTACAGATTAAAAATAAATTCTTTAGAAAGCAACAAATATAATATAGAAATATGTCAAATATGAACTTAACATACTTCTGACAAATATAAAAGACGAAGCAACATTCTCTTATCAATCGTTATCAAACACTGTAATATATTTAAAGTAGATTACGCCACCATAAGTATATAAATTACATAATAAACCTAAATAAATCATCACATTTTACTGTACTTTTGTCTTTTGCTTAGGAACAAACATGTAGATACATTTCTGTAATATCTCCGTGAAAATCATTGTCCCTATAAAAACTAATAGTGTTCCGACCCAATGGCCCGCCGTAAAGGGGTTTCTGAAGTACAAAATCGAAAAAAGTAAGGAGACAAACTTTCTAAGAGTGACAGTCAGTGTGACAATTAGCGAAGCGCATTCCGTAGTCAAAACATAAACGGCGCTTATACACAAACCTTGCGTACAAACATATAATATCAACCAAAGGACTTGTCGCGGCAAAGTTATCCCCATGAAATCTACTAGCGGTGTATCAAATGCTAATTTGACATGGTTTATCAAATTTGGGGTGGTGGGTAACCAGATAACTATAGGTAACAAATGGGTATAGTACAGCGCTTCCCATGGATGTTTACCATATTTGGAATATAGAGATTCTTGGAATATTCCCATTCGAGCGGAAACAAATAGAGCGAATGTTAATATGGCTATCCCCAAACACCACCAAAGCCAGTCAATGAATTTTAGCTTTTCTTCCTCTGCTGCGTCTTCGTGCGTTTCCCTTGGAGCTTTCACGTCGCCACTAGATTGTACGGTACATATAGCGATGCCAGCAGAAATCATAAATATAGCCAAATATTTGAGTGCTGGGTACTGCTTCTTTAAAATCCAAACTCCCATAGCCATATTCGCCATAAGGGATCCCGCTCTAAAGATCATATGTAGAGGCATTGATATATTGAAGTCAAACGCATAGTTGTTAGCTACACTACTCGTCCAGAAAAATCCAACTAATAAAAGGTACTGTTTGAATGGTATATTTCTCTTTGCTGTGCCAAATTTGCCAACCGTGCAGAAACCGACGGTGGCTATGAATAAAAATTGCAGGAATGTTGCTAAATTTCCCGCCCCGGGATCCTCTTTTACTACTAACTCCAAAAACACGACGTTAGAACAACATCCTACGAAGACCATACAAATGGCCAGCGCTGCTTTGATATTCATTTTGAATCTGGAAAGAAATAAAAAAAAATTAAAAAATAAATAAATATTCCGATACCGGGAATCGAACCCGAGCCTCCTGGGTGAGAGCCAGGTATCCTAGCCACTAGACCATATCGGATGTTGACTAACAAAGTTAAAAATACGTACAATTTGAACTAGTCCCATTTATTAATCTCATGTAATTAGTACTACATTAAAATATATATTATAAAAAACCACTTTAATACTAATTACCAACACAAATTGGTAAATAAAATGACATTACTACGAGTATCTTTACCGCGAAGATAAAATAACCTTCGCGGCATAATCGGCGATGGAACAAAACTATTAATGAGATGCAATCATAATGAAAATAAAAGAATATATTTTATACTTACGTTTTAAACACTTTATTCACTAATAAATACAATTAAATCACATTATATTGCACATTATGACAAGCACACGTTTGACAGCCGTGGCATTGGACGTCTGTGTGGGTTTACTAGAGTGACCTCGACACTACGCATGCGCAGACAGATCTGTTGATAAAACAGTGCCTTGGTCTCCCTTTTCCCGCCAAAAGATGGCGCTTCACGCTATCACACGACCTAAATACTGACGTGTTTGCACTTTGAGCTTAGTTTGCTTAAGCACGAAGAAAATGTTTTTGTTTAGAAATGATATTATGGCGATTTAATTAATACTTTTTTATTAGTAAAGATAATATCTATAATGTTGCATTTTTATTAAGCGTGATAAATTGCCAGATACTAAAATAAAATATGTCTTTTTAGTTAAAGTATTTTTTTTTCACCGACTTCCAAAAATGAGGAGGTTCTTAAAGTGTATTTAATTTTATTAATACAAAAATATTTTTTAACAACAGATCACACAATAAATAAATAATTTGTAAAATTGAGCATGTAGGTATGTATGTATGTCGTCCTAGATACGTTTTAATGATTTTATACAAATGTTGACCCGAAAAACCAGCTGTCATCATATAAAATATCATCAAATTCTGTCCAGTACTTTTCTCGTTATGCGTTCCTAGACCGACAAACAGACAGCCAAAAATTCAAAAAACTATAGATTCGGCCTCTGTATCGATAACTAGCGACTCACCCTCGCTTCGCCCGGGTTCGTCCTAGGTTGATTCCCTATACACACTTTTATCCCCATTTTTTTAGGGATAATTTCCGGTATAAAAATATCCTATGTCTTTTCCAGGGTCTCAAATATCTTATTACCAAATTTCATCTAAATCGGTTCGGTAGATCCAGAGATTACGCTTTACAACCTCACAAACTCACAAACTTTACCTCTTTATAATATTAGTATATATAATAGAAGTATAAATAATGACTATTTCGATAAGATTTTTCAAAAAATATTTAATGTACAGATTCGACTCAGTTAGAATTTTATTAATATGTATAGATTATTATAAGTATTTTGGACAAAAACTAAACGAATTTATGGAAAAAACATTACTTAAGGCAAAGTTTTAGGAGATCGCGACCAAACCTTCTAATGTCTAAAAGAAAATGAGAATTTATCAAAAAATGAACCTGTATCTGATATTAAAAGGGTCTGGAGGCGATAGCGACAGATTTATTGAGGTTTTATTATCATAACAATAATAACGTTACAAAAACGGACCTGTTATGTTAGGGCGGAACGATCTTGTCCCTCAATTCTGAATAGGATGTTATCCTTTTCATATAAAAATATAATATTTATTTATGTAATATTGGTATTTGCTTAAAGGAAATCGAATTCAATATGAACATATACTGGTAAGTCAAAATTGTTTGAAATTTAATGTTCTTTAAGTAAGCAATAATAATCTATACATATAATAAAATTGTAACTAGGCCGAATCTATACATTAAATATTTTTTGGAAAATCTTATTGAAATAAACATTATTATCGATACAGAGGCCGAATCTATAGTTTTTAGAATTTTTGTCTGTCTGTCTGTCTGTTACCGCATCACAGAAAACCCACTGGAGGGATTTTGATGAAATTTGGTATGGTGATAGCTGGTTATCCGGGTCAACATATAGGATACTTTTTACCGCGGGAAAATGTCTCATTTCTGAGAAAAAATACAAAAACTGCGGTGTAAGAGTATACTAATATGTAAAACCTAAGAATTTGTTTTTTGGTAATGTGAACGCCGGCGGAGCCGCGGGCAATGCTAATAAATAGTAAATGCTTAACATCGATGGGTTTTTTTATATTAAGCCACTTTTAATGTCACTCGCCTTTAATCGCGAAAAGTTATGAAATACGACAGACAACTTTATTGACGATATTACATTCTATATAAATTTTATTTATTTCATGTACCTATAAGAATAATCAAATAGAGTAAAGGCTATCAATCCTAAACTAAGACAAAAAATGATAATATATAGTATTATATAGAACAAGTTAATTTAACCAGCCTTTGCTTGTGTTTTTTTAATTTAACATCTCCCTGAATTAGTAGTAGGTAGTACATGTCAAGGAATACGCTGTATCTAGCGATTAGCGATTTAATTGGTGAATGAATCTGTCAGATTGACTGCTATAACCATACATAAAGTGATCTACACTACTATTATAGTTAGTTAATGTTTTACCACGCTAGTTATTTATAAATAAAATTTCAGCTAACATTCTACCCTATTTACCACCAATAAACTATTTAAACATTAAAACCCCATTTACGTATCACTTTGGAGAGTTTTTAGTGCGCAGAGTATAAAAATTATAGATTCGACCTCTGTATCAATAATAATGACTATTTCAATAACATTTTCCAAAAAAATATTTAATGTACAAATTCCACACAGTTACAATTTTATTATATGTATAGATTAGTATAGAAAAATAGAGACTTAACTTAAGATATAATTACATATTAACACCATTGCCAAGTTCATACAAAACCCTTCACTCTTCAACCATTCAGAGTGATAAACAGCGTGACATTGTGAATACAAACGTTCCACGGATCATTGCGTAGTGGACTATTTTTAGCATATCCGACTGCATACGACTGGTATCGCTTTATTGCTCCATCTGTTATTTTTAAAGGCTTTCCCAAATCGTTCTCTGCTTTTTGATTTGGAATTCCAATTTAACCTCAAATTACTAAAAGAAATAAAAATACAGTCGAATTGAGAACCTCCTCCTTTTTGAAGTCGGTTGAAAATAGCTTTTTTCCGTTGTCCCGTTGTATAGAATTAAAAGTCGGGACTAATTTATTACGTATGGAATAGATCGGTAAATCGATAGTTTCTCTTTGTTAGAACTAATATGACGATCGACGATAACACGTTACTTGTACTAACTTCGTTAAAATGTGAGTAATGCATTAGTGAATATTAGATACTTTAAATAAAACTTTTTTTCACGGATTTTATCACGATTATTTCTAATGGTTTATTACAAATTAAAAGTTTTCAAAACCCCCTACCCAAATTAATTGTCATTTAACGATTACACTGGCACGCGTGAAGCACTTAATCGAGTAATCATACGCCGAAATGCTTTACATCATTTTGGAAAAGAGCTGATACTCTTACACTGCTGAACCGATATTAACCAAACATAGCTAAGAACCACGGCAAGGAAACTGGCTTTCAAATGAAAAAAACCGCATCAAAATCGGTCCATCCGTTTGAGAGCTACGATGCCACAGATAGACACACACAGACAGATATGGACATCAAACTTATAACACCCCTCTTATTGCGTCGGGGGTTAAAAACAAACATAGTCCCGGGAGATATTGAGATTATAAACATTTCAAAAATTGTTATTATAGACAATGTCTACCCACAAAAGCGTGGGGAGTAAAAAAATTAATATAAAAGCCAAAATTAAAGCCGATTAAAATCTAATTTATAATGTTATTAACATATACGACTAATATATAAACATAACATAATATAAACTCTTTTGAATTAAACTTGTACCTCAGACAGATTAAAAATATTTTACAATGTCGATGTTAGCACCGTGATGTGATGTGGAACTTAAAAGGCTATACCTAAGTATATTTTACAATATAGTTTAACACCTAACAAATTGTAGGCAAACTTAGCCCACCTATTTAAAGCACGATCGTAGTTCGATCTGGATAGAATACGTAAAATTTAAGAATACCTGGTTTTATGATCAAACTTCTGAATGATCTAACTTATAAAAAGTGCTTTTATAATATTTATTTACCAACGACCCAATATATTATATGTGTAATGATAAAAATATATAAATAAATAAGAAGTAGTATCAAGAAATTTTACAAATTATACTTTGTTATAGCATGTCTTTTTTCAATATTTTCGATATAACATAAGTATATACATACATTTTTATATGCACATGTATAAATAAATAAATAAATATGTTGGGACATTACCACACAGCCCCATCTAGCTCCATGGTAAGCTACGAGGCTTGTGTTATGAATACCAGACAGTTAATACACTACACATATATAACTTTAAATACATACATATTATAAATATAAACAGCCATGACTGGAGTACAAACATTCGTGCTCATCACACAAATGAATGCCTCCAGCGGGATTCGAACCCGCGACCGCTGGCACAGCAAGTAGGGTCACTACAAACTGAGCCAAACGTGTCGTCAAATAAGTATATATGTAGATAAATTTTTATATGAACATGTATAAGCATGTAAAATACGTATATAAGACCTACATATGTACCTTTTGTGAGTTTTAGATCGGGAGTTCCCACTGGATGGGTATTGGATAGTAAATATTTCATTTAGTTGTAAAGAATGTCAATATCCCCGCATCCTGCGTACATACCAATATTCGTCTCAACCAAAAATCGAACCAACAAACTTAGTACAAGCTAGTGACTCTACACATAATTCGTTGGCTTACTATTACAAGGTTCTATGTTAATTTTAATGAAGTTTAGTAATTTTTACATAGAACTTCGTTATTTTTATATCGTAAAAAAACCAACATAGAACTATGTAAAATTGAATATTTTGTAGTTAAAGTGCCGCCATCTAGTGGTTTGTTTTTGCAAAACTGTAGCTAATGATACATAAAACCTTGTAGCATTAATAACTAAATAAGTACTAAAATTGTAACATAGAACCTTGTAATAGTGAGTCAACGAATTATGTCGTTTTAAATAATCGCTTATATTAAAAAACTCTCTCGTTACTCGCCTCTTAACTAGATATCTTCAATAAGGGCGATATCTCCATGCACTATTGCATAACGGAACCGATATAACATAACGGTGGCTGTAATTCAATTATTCCGGCTCGACGCACGCGACTAACGACCTTTTGGACATATGCAAAATTTCCTATAACATTTTGTGGTGAAGTAATAAAATTAGCTGTTTGTTTACTTTTACTCTCGCTCGCTGAAGGGATGTAAATAACGTATTTCATGACATTGAACGTATGGTTTTAACTTTTTAAAAGAGTTAAGTTTTTTTTATTAATTGTTTAATATCGCTATTTGAATGATACTATGTATTCAACCTTTTTTTAATATCCCACAGCTGGGCACGGATCTCCAATACGAGAGGCATCAGGCCATAGCCCACCACGCTGGCCAAGTGCGAGTTGGCGGACTTCACATGCCTTTCGAAAACTTACTAGGTTTTTTTACTACAAAATGAGCCAAACGTGTATTGCTTTCACGCATTTACGAATGAACTTGTGCAGCTAACTTCAATTATTCTTGACGTGAAAACAGTTTTTTTTAATATCAGTGATACAAAAACAGGAAGAAAACTAAGTTTAAAATTTTGCACGTATTATTATATACCTACTTCTAAAGTAACTCTACTAAATTCTAATAAACGTTCATAAAATCAAAATAAATAAATAAATAAATAAATAAATAATAAAAACCACCGATGCAATGCTCTACAAAAAGTTTTACACGCAATAAAATAGTAAAAGGGCGGTTCAAGTTGGTACGTCAAGTACCTATTTTATAAAGTTTATTATAGTCTATAGATATAAAAAATGGGTGAAAAGAGTCTAAATAAAAAATCTTCACTTCAGAGTAACTTAGAAAAATATATTCCAACACCAAGAGTGGATTTTTTATTTATATAATATTTTAGCTTATCTTTTATTTTTTTCTTAATTTACTAACAGTTTCATTGTAAAAATACTTTAATTGTTATTAAATTAAATAATAAAAAGTAAAAATAACTAAACGCGGGTTTTCATTTACTACAGATACCTAATCAGATATTTTCGAAGTCGGTTCCAGCCGATACAAATCAAAATAAATCTATTACGATACGTATAAATATATCACAAATTGATGTTTAATATTTTAACTATAATACTCGTAGGAGTTCATACCTTGTCGTATTTACCGATTAGATATTCATATCTTAAAGCATTGTCGGCTGGCACCGTCTTCGAAAATATCTGATTAGGTATCTATAGTAAATGAAAACTCCTATTCAAATATTCTTGTACATTTTAATATCTTTTTTGAAGTCGGTTAAAAAGACGCACTGCTCAGGCAAAGCCAGGACGTGTTACGAGTTATTTATATGAAACTAATATCGCCTCTGTTTAACCGTTTGATGGTAAATTGTATATATTTTTAAGGGTCCAAAGCCCATATCATTTTCAGAACAAGCCATCTTAGGGATCAATGAATGCAAACTGTACAAATGATTTTCGTCCCAATTGTATTGACTTAAAATTCAATTTCCCTTAACAAAACTTAATACAAGGATACGATAGAATTCAAAATTAAATACCAAAACGATGGTGTCTTTTTTCTCTTATAAAATAAAATGAACGTTCAAAACTAAGCCTTATTCTTATACAATCAAAGAACATATTGCTTTAAACAAAACAATGATTTTCGAATTCAAAGCCTACCTTCTTTGTAATAAGGTTTTTTTTCTATTTTTAAACGATAAAATTAGAAAACGTGCCTAGCCTATTAAGCTGTTTAGTTATTTCGTTATTTATTTAATTTCAATTCTATTATAATGGCATAAGGCCTGATTTTGCAAAATAGTAAGCCATATATAATAAGTATACAAATATGTACAACAATTTCAAAGATGCCTTGATTAATATTTTACCTATAAAAAACTGCCGTGTTTTGTTCTGTTTGTCTGTTTTTTGCGATTTCAAAAAAAAAAGAATTGCAAATCACTCCGTATTATTTGTCTATGACCTATGTCTTACTATCTATAGGCAAATTATTTAATTAACCGACTCGAAAGAGGTGGGTATTCAATTATGTTTTTTCGGTTGTTTGCTACGTGATATAGTGTATTTTTTATTAAATGGGTAATATTTAATAATATAAGGACGAACAGAAACACACGTTCGCCTTAAAAATTTTTACAACAAAATAAAAAAATTATAGACACCAAAAAATAAAACGCGAATTAAAAAAAAACTATTAAGGTGACGTAGGAGCATAGGAAGTGTAATACAAATTATTTTCAAACATAGACATTTTTGTGATCACTTCCTACAACTATTTATTTTAACATCCCACTCCATAGGTTTGGTCCAAAAATAGTCAAGACGCCCAAATTCGCGGCAAAAGTCCGCCATTTTAGGCTAGCCCTATAAAAAATTACTAAAAAATATAAAGTCGAACATACTACATACATATATACATATATTATCAAACACATAACCCTCCTTTTGGGCTTCACCGCAGTAATAAGCATCCCTCTTTACAAAATCTTATATTTATACAGTGTAACATTTTCCAGTTAACTTCACCTAAAACTCCTTTGCAAGTGACCAAATTTAATAAAAGTTTTATAAAGCTAAAACACAAAGGCGTTTAGAGTTTTTTTTTTTAGAATTATAAGGGTCTTGATAACATTATTGGGTTATACAGTAATCGACCATCAATCATAGTAAGAAAAGGCCGGAATGAAAAGAACTACTCTAAGTAGGCGTCGAGTCATAAATCAACAGTTTTCTTGTAAGATACTCGTATAATGTCAAGGACTTAAATTTCTACATAGAAAATATGGCTGACATTAACAAAATTATACGAGGATGCTAAAATAAATATCATATTATGTTTTGTTTACATCTCTCTTTTGTTTTGACATCAAGAAAGTAAGCGTTTTTAAGGCTGATTTAATGTAGGTTTCATATATTTATTTAGTGTTGTCTAAGTACTGTTATACAGTAATGCTAAAATTTAACACTGGTGTCTCAAGTCGTTAGTTGTTTTTCCTGACTATACAAGAAAGAGGGTTCTGTTATTTAAATGTACAAACCTACACTCAAATAACATAACCTAACTTTAACATTTACAATATGTATATGGATTAATATTATTTATATATTGAGTGTTTTAATAGAAAATAATATATTTGATTAATTTGTAATGATTTATCTATAAAGCATTTACTTATGTGACCTTGGCCGATAGGAATGTGTTTTAAAATAAATAAAAAATGGCGCGGATATTCATTTGTTTTTTCTCCGCGCTTTTGCACAGAGATGTCGGTGCCACGACCACCCTGTAGGTCACTACGAGTTATTTGTAATACTGAAAATTATGTTTTTAAATAAAACTATCTTTTCGGATTATTTCGCGGATTTATTTTGATTTTCGGTTCCCGAAGTTTCGAATGCTTTACAGCATCCATGGTCACGGGAGAGACTGAGGTGTTACATGTCTTGAAGGTATAGTTGTTACAGACAGCCTACCCACAATTAACAAAATGAAAATTGCACCAATTACATTACAACATTTTTTAACTTTAAACATTTTTCCAAAAATCATAATAAATCCGCGAAATAATCCGAAAAGATAGTTTTATTTAAAAATGTCAAACATTCGCGTAAATCTAAGAAAGTATTATCTGAAAATTATGATTATAAATTATCTAAGTCACTGATGATTATAAAGGCACTGAATATAGGCAAGGAATATCTCGAAGTTTTATTAGGGACCCAACAATAGGATGAGTACTAAACGAAAGCTTAAAAGAAGCTAAAGTAAAATTTTTATTAAAAGTATAAATTCCATACAGATCTATTTACTTTTTCTAATAACTTCACTGTTTCTATCAATTATTATTATTTTCAAAAATATCACATAAGTAAATAATTTAAAGCTTATGAAAGTAATTTCAAAATCGTCACAGGCTTTCAAACATTATACTCTACATACAAACTGTGTAATTGATAGACTTTATAATAACTACAAAACTCCCTTAAATGCTTTTTTTTTAAGTTATTGTTTAATTGAGAAGTTTCTAAGCCACTTCCGGTTCTATTATCGAAAGCAGTTATAGAAAAGCTTGTAAAATCTGATATCGATAAGATTATTTTCGTAGTGGTTTCTTTTCGTAAGCTCGCTTTTAACCGAGCTTTTGTCATAACCAGATAAATTGTAAATTAACCACTAAGCTTTTACAAAGCAATAATTAAATAAATATTTATTATATCAAACATCTTTAAAAATGTATTAATTTTTTTTTTTAGGTAACAATACTAAAATATTGTAACCTAATATCATTACGATCTAGTCAACAAGGCTAATGAGTAATATAACTTACACTAAGTTTTAAAAAATATATTACATGATGATTATATTAGAAACTGAGGGTAAATCTGGACTTTAAAGGGCTTATCTGTTGGAGAGATCTCTTCTCATCAACCTATACTTAGAGATAAGAAATTGATTGTTACATTATAACGGATCAGAGATGTGCAGGATATTTAAAGAAATAAATGATTGTATGAAATATGAGTTTAGATACGATACGTCAAA